AGCCCCCCCCCCCCCCCCCGTGTTGATAGTTGTGTTTCCTGGAAGAGCTTTGCCATCTGCAATGCTGGGATGGCTACCAACTGTCACCTACCAAGCCTTGCAGCGAGCAACCCTAACAGCAAGACATAAAAGTCAGTGTCCTCACCAAGAAAACGGAAATCCTTGCAATGCATGAAAAGAGAGGACTGATGCCAGGAGAGAGGGAAAGAAGAATTAGCATATATTTGAGGATTTGTAGATTAATTTGCTTTACAAAAGCAGCTTCTTTTTTTTAAAGGAACTTTCTGTAAAATGCAGGCCTCCCGATCTGCCGCTTTCTCCAGGAGGGGCTCTGGCATCCAGACTCTGAAGGCTAAGCCAGTTTCTGTTTCATCCTGCCAAATGCCAGGCTGACGTAACTTCTGATTCCCTGCCAGCTCTCCTCCTCCTGGCTGTCCTCTAAGTCCCAACAGGCAAAAACAGCCAAGGTTTCTCCTCCTCCTCTTAAAGCAACAGAACAAAGAAGGTTTCCGAGCAAGCCAGAATGACACTTTTATTACAGCAACTTCTGTAGCAGCAGCTTAGTTGGAGGGCTCGGCCAGCCGAACAGAAGAACAACTTCATAACCATCCAAGTTTCTTAATTCTGCCAATTAAAGAGGAGGGGGGAACCACAAATGATATGCAAAATGTCTTGCAGTTCCCAATCCTTTGCCAAAAGTGTGCTCATTTTGCAGATGTTTGAATCTAGAAAATTCTTTGCTGACAAGTCCTGTCCCTTCCGGCTGAGTTAGGAGTCTGACTCCCGTATTCCCCAACCAGGATGTTGGAAGCCATCAGATTCAGAAGGTAAGATAACACCAGCTGGCGTCTTAACTTAAACAAGGCCTTGAACCTAGCCATGCTTACCTGGGAGAGCCCACCTGACAGAGCTCCTGCTGAAGCTGGGGGCTGGGTGAGCCACCCAAGTGTGCACAGATCATCTGCCTGGCCTGGTCCGAGAGCAGAGACTGTGGTGTTAACAATGGCATGCAGAAAAACAGGATGAGGCCCATCCAGTGCCAGTCTTGCATCACCATCCTTGGGCAAGGAAAAGATCCTGCCTGTCAAGTTCCACTCCTACTTCCCATTCTAGCCAACCGAGCTGGCATTTCCTGGTGGTCTCTCATCCAAGTGCCAGGTCCAATCCTATTGCTTTCTCAAGATCAATCATGACCAGCTTGCTGTTGTCACTGGGGGTCCAGCTAAATAAACCAAAAGGTTTAACAACCTGGATCTTAAGCTAGGGTTTGTGAAGATCAAAGCAAACCACAAGTCCAGATTCACCAGTGATGTCAGCAGTTGGTTGACACCTTCAGGAAAATAGGAGGAAGGAGTATTAGGTATGTTCGCCACCTTGAGTTATTCATAAAAAAAAATCATAAAGGTGGGATAAAAAAAAAATCTTTAAAAAAAAAAGCAAGAAGAATCCAAGAACTCAGTTGTTGCTATGGGTAAATGAGATGGGGTTTCTCAGTGCAAATGTCCTTCCAGGTTGTTTATGCTGATGTAAATAAGTATTGTTAGATTTACTGGCCTTGGTGAAAAAGCAGGAGAGTAATCAAGGTAAATCATTACTCCAGTTAAATGTTGAAATTCACCAGAAAACAGGGAAGAATGGTGAAGAAAGCCAAGAGGAAAAGATTACACTGAGGTTCCAAGTAAAATGAAAACAAAAAGAGAAAAATCCCTTAAATCAAAAAAAGGAACGTTTATTATTGGGTGGACAAACAAGGCATTGTAGATATATGATCCCTTTCGTATCTGTAACAATAGGCCTGTGTGCTACATCCAACGTTATTTCTTTGATTTTCAAGACAAAATGGAATAGACCAACTTAATCTGGTACCCATCGGCTGGGCTGGGCTTCAGTCCCCATCTTCTCTAGCTAGCATGTTCCTCTACAGATTAATTCAAACGTACAACTGAAAATCAGACAAAAATCGTGTATTAGAATGCCAGGGGCTTTTTGGATACCCTCCTTAAAAGAACACCAGGTTGCATCTCTAAATTGCACTTCCCTGAAATGCAGGACGAACGAACGCAACTTTTCTGTTCCATCACTGTCAGCTTTGGATTCTTCCGGGCAATCTGCAATCAGCTCACGGAGGAAATCGTTCAGCGCACAGAACAAACAGAAGCACAATTATCCTTATCTCCCTGTAATCTCTTTTTCACCTCCACGGAATATTTATGGCCAGCCCCAGCACCCATATTTCATGTGGCTTCTGCCAGAGATTCAGGCTGAGACTTTGGGGCGTCTCCAGAAAAAAGGCAAAAATGGTCTCCCTACCCAACACTCTGGGGTGCGATCTAAGATTTTCTTGATTCTGAAGGGGAGACACAAGTCCGAGGGCCTGAATAATAAAAAAGTCTCTTTTGAATGGACCTTGCCTTGCATCACACGGACCCATCTTTTGAGTCTTCTCACAGCATCAAAGCTATTTGCCATTCTGGACGTATTTGGGTTTTTTTAACTTCCGAGTCCAGTCTACAGAGCTGGGACCTCCCGGTAGCCGCCCGCCCAAGCGCTAACTCCGTCCAGCCCGCTTCGCTTCTCCGAGCTCGGCCGAGCGCAAGCAAATGGTGCCACCTACTGCGGCGAAAAAGTTGAACAAGTCTCCAAAATCCCCACCGATGAACTTCAGCCATTTTTGCTTTCTCTTCCGTCCTTTCCCTTAGGCCTCGCAGCTGGACGCCGGAGGAGCTGGGGCAGCGGGGCCGGGTTCGCTCGGGCTCCCCGAGCATCGCATCGCATCGCATCGCA